CCCTTGTTCACTCTGCTCCAGTCAGATAACCACCCCCCTCTTTTTTTTTTTTTAAAGATTTTATTTATTTATTTGACAGAGAGAGACACAGTGAGAGAGGGAACACAAGCTGGGAGAGTGGGAGAGGGAGAAGCAGCCTCCCGGCCGAGCAGGGAGCCCGATGCGGGGCTCAATCCCAGGACCCTGGGATCATGACCTGAGCCGAATGCAGGCGCTTAACGACTGAGCCACCCAGGCGCCCCCAGTCAGATAACCCCTTGTGGTTGTGTGAACCAGACATGCTCCTGCCACAGGCCCTTTGCACTTGCTATTCCATATGTTAGCAATGGTCTTGCCTCTATAGCCACATGATTTGCTTCCTCTTCTCCTGGTCTCCACCCAAATGTCACCTTCTCACTAAGGCTTTCTCTGGTCACCTGATCGAAAATTTCAACCCCTCAGAGCACTCCCTGTCCACCTTCCTGTTTTATTTATCTTCTTAATTCTCTTCATCAAGTAAAAATGGGGATTTTTTTTTTTTTTAGAATGGGGATTTTTGTCTGCCACTGTATTTGTATCACTAAAAACAGTGCCTAGCATGTAGTAGATACTCAATAGATATTTCTTGAATGGATAAATAAGTGTAATCCATTTTATTATTATTTATTGTCCAAACCATATTAAAAGAAATAGAAAAAAAAGGAAGAAAAAACTGTACCCTCAGTTCCAGTAATCAACGATTCAAATTGTTCTCAGTTGTCCCCAGGAAAATACATACATATTTTATTCAGTTGTAATCCTAGGGAATGGAGGTAAAACTCAGTAAACTACTTGTTTTCATTTGACTGTAGGTAACGAGGCTTGACTGCTGGGGTCTCATGCGGCTCAGTAAAGTCTTGAAAGGTCTTATGTCCTCTCAGAAAGCAGGTCTACACTCAAACAGAAAGGAGATCAGAATTAGAATGTTTAACGCTTTTTTATTGCAATAAATATTAAAATTGGTAACCAAATAATAAGTCCTAAAACACAAATTACTATTCCCATTTTCCACACGACGAATGGAGCATCCCATGGGATTAAGCTACCTGAGTTCTCCAGGCATTTGAGTCTGTACCTGGAGAACTCTGACACCTTAATCTGCCCATAAAGATTCACATTAACAGTTGTTTTAGCACCACTAGAGGGAAATTGCCTTGGAACATATATTACAAAATTACGTTATTTCCTCCTCCAAGCCTCTGGTATGCCACGATGGAGGCACTGGGTGTTAGACCTACCCCACATCTTGGATTCTACCTGCTGTAGCAAAGTTGAATGAGTGAGGAAAGATCCTAGGCCCTGACTTTAAAGATATAAAAGAAGGTTTCAGTAACAGTTTCCTTTGGTCAATATCATGCTAGTCAGTGTATCTGTTATCCAGCTCAGGTGATGTTAACTAGGCGATGAAGATTTTTAAAAATTTTACAATGTCTGCTTTTCACCAACCAGGTAGTGGGGATATTACGTGAAACTCCTAAATCCCCTGAGATCCAAGAGCTGAAACAAATCCTCCAGGATCCACACTTTAAGGCAAGTGCATGCTAAAATAGACAAGATATGCCCATCTGGCACGTGGGCAAAGTTGGCAAGAAGAAATAAGGGTGACAGGAAATGTACTTTCTGAATAGACATTCTATTACTGTACGTGGGTGACCAACAGATTGTTCTTAAAGATATGGGACTCAGATGTGACTGGCTCTGTGTTGTTAGCCATGGAGCCAAGCCTGCCATATTTATGAGGAGACATCCAGAACTTCCCATGATGTCTTGTTTCCACCCTGCAAAGCCATTGTCCTTCTAAAATTCTGGGGGAGAATCAGGGTAGTATACTTCCTTTCCAACTTGGAAATATTTTAAGTTTTGGATGAAATGTGTGAAGAGGTTCTGAAAATATAGTATAAGGATGATTAACTCAATGAGGGAGTATATGAAGGACATTTGATTGAAGAATGTTTGATTGCAGAACAGAAGCCTATCTCACAGTACTTATAGAGTTTGAGTTCAGTTTATCAACAAATGAGAACTTTAAGAGAATATCTGCACTTGGAGCAATAGAATTTGAGTCAAATTTTCAGTTCACAAGATAACCCTAGAGAATTTTCTCTGAGTTCCAGAGAAGTTCTGTCCACCAATCTATGGAATGACTACTTCCCCACCCGGTGAAATAAAAATTTAACATAATGGGCCATTAGAAGGAACTCTTTGATCACACCCTAAGTCAGGAAACTACTTTTTCTCATTCTGTTCCTCATAGGCCCTTGGGAGTCACTGACACGTTAAACTAGCAAGATGTTTTGATTACTGTCTCCCATTCTGCCTTAATTAGGGAAAATATTATAAAAGTTATTCCGTAGTTCAAGCTTATCGGAGCACCATGGATTACATGGGTTTGCAGGAAATGAGAAAGTGACAAAATACATTTTAGCAGAAATGCAAGAATATATTATGTATCAACTTAACCTCTCCGTGCCTTGTTTCTTTATGAAATGGGGACAATAAATATACCTGCCTCATGGAGTTATTGTGAAGATTGAGTTAATCCACATAAAATGCTACGCTCAGCATATATGTGTTGGTTGTTGTGGTGATGGTGGCGGTTTGTCTTACAGAGTGTTAGCTCACCGTCTTCTAGAAGGGTGTGTCCTGTGTGTGACCTTTGTTCACCTTGCCTTCTCTGTTCCTAGGCCTTGCTCAGTGCCCATGACACTGTGGCTCGGAAAGATTTTGAACCCCTTCTCCCCCCATTGCCAGACAATATCCCTGAGAGTGAGGAAGCAATGAGGATTGTTTGTTTGGTGAAAAACCAACAGCCCCTGGTAAGGAAATCACTTTATCTTCTCAGTTAGAATGGTATCAGGGCTAATTGTGAACCAAGGGTTAATTGTGAACTACATTATCTCTTGTAGTTATTTAATATAATGTTAGATATTCTTGCTTGTATAGTTTGAGGCATTCAGATAATGTGAGGGCATCCATGATAATGGCTAGCGCATGATGTCCTAGGGGAAAGGCAGCGGGAGAGGGAGAGAGAGTTCCAAGCAGGCTCCACACTCAGTGCAGAGCCCAAAGTGGGGCTTGATCTCACGACCCTGAGATCATGACCTGAGCTGAAATCCAGAGTCAGATGCTTAACTGACTGAGCCACCCAGGTGCTCCATGTTTTATTTTATTATTTGGCTCTCTGAAGTACATACATTTCACTAAATTCCAATGTATTTATCTAAGTTTTTTTTTTCTTTATTAATTGGAAGCTAAGTGAGGCATTAATTTGATTTTCTAAGAATAGTCTCTTTGATTAGGTTATAATGGTGAGAGCTTTCTTTATCTTTGGAAGGATCTAAATATTATTTTGTATCCATGTGGTTGGGTAGAGATTTTGGTAGGTCAAGGTTGAATGAATGGCCCTGGCTGGTATAAATACCCTCTTCTAGAGGAGAGGAGGGTGGGGGGATGGGTTAGCCTGGTGATGGGTATTAAAGAGGGCACGTTCTGCATGGAGCACTGGGTGTTATGCACAAACAATGAATCATGGAAC